CTATTTATTTTCTATTTTATAGCAAAATAGGTATTTATTTTAACCATTGAGGCGTGAAATACTTTCATTATCTCTCTCTTCCTTCTCTCTCTATCAGCAAGATTTTCAATCTCTCTCTTATCCCTCAAATCTGGCCATAGTCATGACCCTCCAACTTCGGCTGAAGAAACGAATATATACCAAACTCTGCCTCTTGAGAAAAAGGAGAAGTAATACATACTAGTACTCCTAATAGAAGCAAAAGGAGAGAAAGACGAAGAAGCAACAACAGAAAAAGATGAAAAATCAAGCAAACCTCATCGCCGATCCACAAGAGAAGCACTCGTCAACACATTCTCTGAAATCACTTTTGCTTTCAAACCCGAAGCCCTTTTCTTCCTCGAAAGCCATAACTTCGATTTGGATTTCGCCGGCTCTATTTTCTATTCTTCTTTGCTTTTTAGTCGCATACAATGATACAAATACATTATATTCTGTACAAATACACTGTATTTTTGTATAAATACATTATTTGTTCACCTGTATGTATGTATTCTGAAGGTCTGTACTTTTTGAATACAACTGAATATCACTGTGTTTTGTGATTTTTTGTTGTTTGAATATAGTCGAATTGAATACGGTGAATTCAATACAATGTATAATAGTGAATAATGAATATCTGTGAATTGAATACAATGTATACAGTTGAATTGAATAGATCGGTATACACCTTATTTCTCGATTACCTCAATGTATTTATAAATACAGTCGCGCGAATACATGGAATACAACACAGTAGCAGCAAATTATTTTTAGAATTGATTTTGTTGAGTTAATTGACCCTCTTCCCGTTATTAAACAACTGAATTCTACAGCGAATACAGTCGCATACAACTGGAATCCCATATTTTTTTTTCAAATTCGCAAGCTGATCCTAGGTAATCGTTGTTGTTCATTGGATTCCGGAGGTTCTAAATTTGCTCCTGAATATTAAGGATAATTACATTCTTGAAAGGATCAAGGGCTCTACCCTCTCGCATAAAGTCTTATGCTCTTATCGTCAACCTTCGTGGCTTTTTGCTCGTTTGGTCTCGCTATTTCATTCATGGTTCTCTCTTTCAAGCTTCTTTCCATCCTGGGGATTTCTTCTCATTCCGTCCGTTCTGCTAGGTGGAGCATGATACTTCACGAAGTTTGATTTGCGGTCGGGGTATTATCAAGTGCGTATTGCCGAGGGTGAACATATTTCTTTTCTCTTGTGTTGGCTTTGCAAGTTCCTGTTGTACATCCCTGCCCGATCATTTTCTTCTGATTATCTGTTTTTAGCCAAACTACTAGCTTCTGGGAGGAGGGTTATAGACTCATTCAGGTTGAGACGGACTCCTTGGTTTCTATACAGAAGCTGCACAATGGTTGGGCCTGAGGATCCACATTTCAATATTATCCTGAGAATCAGAGAGCTAATAAGAAGGGATTGGAGGTGTGAATTGAGATCATTTCCCCTATAGATCCACCTTTCTTCAAAATAAAGATATATCAACTAAAAGAAAGCTAAATCGAATTGGAATAGGATAAAGAACGCACGAAGGATCAGAGAGAAAGAGGATTCTAAAAGCGAAAAGCCTAGAAGACTAGATTGTCAGACTCGGAGGTAGCAGTAAGATCTCTGTCTCTAGAGCAAGCATGAGGGTTTTCTAAAAGTCTCCTCTCATTACTTATGGATAAAGCTCTTAAGCTTAAACTTTTATGAACTAAAAGATCTTCCCATTCTAAATAAGAATGAGAGTCTTTCAACTAGATGTGCTCCTTTGGCTGGGTTTGAGAGAGAGAGAGCGTGAGATAGTTGGTCTAATAATTAGTCCAACTTCCTTGTATCTGAAAGCGATGACAGGATGTTAGGTCTAGTAAGGAGACTTTTTGAATAATTTACTTTCGTTCGCCATTCCCACCCGGGAATCACTTCACTCCACCGCCTCGTCAGTCTTCTTGCATCTTTTTTAGTTTTGAAAATCGACTAAGCGTTGCGCCAAGCCTACTTGTGAAGAGAAGAGTCGTCGGGCTATTGTAGAGTGAGTTTTTTGGGGGAGAATCACTCGGCGCGGGTAGCTCTTATTCCAAGAACTGGCGATATTCCCTTAACTACAGATTCAATAGCACCGGTTATGAACCCCAAAACCGCGATTTCCGCTATTGTATTCATGAATGCCGTAGCGAAAATACAACAAATATAGTCGCGTAACAACTGAATAATAGTTATAGAAAGTAATTATATATATGATAGCTATAAGAAGTTAATGACCACTCGACAATAGTGATTTTTGAAAATTTCTCAATTTATATTGGAAGATGGACTAAGTCCAAGATCTACACTCAAACGATGGGTTGAGCCCGCATCACCATGTAAAGGAGGAGTTATTGTATTTGATAAGGTCAAACTGAGATTTTAAAGCTACAAAGATCAGTTTATAACTATTTCTTGTAAATCATGATGATAAGAAACCGCTGAACATGCCAACGGTTAATCCTACATGATTTAGGACATGTAGAAATACTATAGAAATTTTAAGGAACACGTTTAGGATGGTGGTCTGTCAGCCCAAGAGTAGTCCCGTCACAAGAAATAGAATAAAGACTTGTATATTAACACATTACACAATCTAAACTATTTCAGTACATTTATCTCTTGCTACTTAAGATCTTTAATTATCAATTAAATTCAGTTACGTTTACGTAAACAAGAATTAGCACGGATAAATTTCGTAGCTAAATAAAATCCCCTTGTTAATCCTATTTAGACAGGGATTATCATTAGCCCCAGGAGCTATTTAGCACGAATTAGCGACGAGTTCAATTTGTGTTTTTCTAGTAGTGATACGAGCCCATTAGGCTTAAGGATGAATTTAGCTGTCCATTTGCTTCATAGTTTGGCCTACTTGGAAATTTTCACAAGCAAAATGTATAATAGTTTCCTCTTATTCTTTACAGAGAGGGCAGTCACCATCATCGTGCACAAGTTAGACCTTGGTCGGCACCAAATCAAGCAAAAAACTACCTAAAACTATCAACTACTTTTTCAATCCTGGGCTTGACTAATGTATCTTCTATAACCACTTCACTCTACTTAGGTACCAGCACTAACTTGTCTTACGTCAAATTAAAAGTCTTATGAAGCTAGATTTTCTAAATTTCACACTTGCTCTGACGCTAACGTATAAGTTAGTTTGAAAATGAATTCTGCAAAAATAAAACACAAACAAAAGTAGGACAATTAAAATATTCCGAGCCCAACAAATTATTGTGTTTCTTTAAGAATTGAATCCCTTCATTATTGTCCAAGGTTATTAGATTAATTCCTCAAAAATATTCAAATTTATGTTAGGGACCGTTTGGAAAATCCACAAATTTCAATACACAAATTATTATTGGGAAATTATTGATTTAACCGCGAATTTTACTAATAATTACTCACGAATAATATTGGAAAAAGAAAAATAAATAACGAAAATTTGGTCCAAAAAATTTATCGATCAATCAAATTCGAAGCTAAACAACGACGGTGGCGCGATACTTGCTTTCTTCTCAACTCTTTAAAAGCTAGAAGAAATACTTCTATATTGATAGAAACTAAGGGTCCACCAAACTTATATAGAGAACCAGGTTCTCTATTAGTTCCCACAAAACACACACACAACTGTAAGTAAATAACACAATAGAGTTTTACGTGAAAAACTCCCAGCTCACGAGATTAAAAGCCACGACCTACCCTTGTAAGATTTCAACTTCGCTACTGAGCAAACTTTAGATTACAAACTATTGTAACCTAGGAATTAACCTCTTAATTCATCACTAACTTGTAATAACTCTATTACAAGCCCCTTTGTAATAACTCTATTACAAAGCTTACAACTCGACTAACTCTAGCCAAGACACAAACACATAGTTTATCATTTTACAAAGGTTTCCTACACAATGCTTCTAACTAAGCTAAGTAGGAATTACAAGTAAATCACTTTGACAAAGGTGCTACACAACTAAGGACATATGATGACTCAATGCAGGAAACTGGTCTTTTGTTATATTGCTCTTTGTTCTTGACGCCTCGAATGTCATTAGCAGGTTGGCAATACACTTGAGAGAGAGCTTGATGATTTCTGGAATGTGCGAGTGTTATGTTTTGCCTTTGCTTCTTGTTAATATTACATAAGTGACATCACTTGAATGATGCAAGCATGTTTGGTACAAAGGCATTCCCCATAAAGTGACTGCTCCACTATTTGCACTGTTGCGTGTGCGTAGATGAACAGTTGCAGTCACGTTACAAGTGTGGGGAGTTGACTGGTACTGTTAGTAAGGGAACTGATGTCGATCTGTTCTCTCTGTGGTTTCTTGGACTTTGAATGTTGGAACATGTCCCAAACTTGAGACTTGTTGATCTTGAGCACTCAGAGGATGTAGAGCAGGTTCTCCATCTGATTCTCAACAATAAGTTTGTTAAATCATCAAAACATAGTAAGACACATAACTTATCATTAGGGGTGTACAAATAAAACCGACAAACTGCACCAACCCGATAATCCGAGTCAAATCGAGAAAAAAAATCCGACTATGGTTTGGTTTGATTGGTTTGGTGTTGGAAAAAAAACCCGACGATATTTGATTTTGTTTGGTTTTAACTTAAAAATGTCAAACCGAAGCCAAACCAATTTTGGTTTGATTTTTTTAGTTAAAACCAAACCAAACCAAATAACATCAGATTTTTTTTTCCAACACCAAACCAATCAAACCAAACCATAGTCGGGTTTTTTTTCTCAGTTTGACTCAGATTATCTGGTTGGTGTGGTTTGTCAGTTTTAGAATTATTTTATAGATTAAAATATTAATATAATATAATTTTTAAATATTTATTTAAATTTTTCAAGATCTTTGTTTATTAATATTAATAATTTAATAATAGGCTAGAGTTAATTGCAGCCCACTCCTGTAGAATAACAAAATAAGTCCAATCCCAAAGAAAATTACACCCTAAATCCCCAATGTCATAAATTGTACGACTAAATCCCTAATGTCATTTGTTGTGCGTTCATTTCATGAAAGTAACCAGCCTTCAAATTCAAGGTTTGTTCAAGTCGTCATCGACAACCTCTGTTCAGGTTAAGTTCAAGCTTTGTTCAAGTCGTCATTGTCAGCCTCCATTTAAGACAAGTTCATCATCTTGATTTCAGGTATTATCGGTGACGTTTTAATCTATTTTTCAACCTTATAAAGAAAGAAAGTGGGAAAGAAAGAAAACTAGAACTTCTGTATTGCATTGCAAATAAATTAGTTTGTGTTCCTCTATTTCTTTTATTGTTTATTACAGACTTTTGCTTTGTAACTTGACCTTTGACAAAATTATTCAGTTTTCACTGCTTCTTCTACTGTTGGCTCATAAACTTTTATTGGGTCAATTTTGACAAATCTCGAATTAATTAAATTTTAAAATTTAATACCTTTAGCTAAAACGAAGTTGTGATTTAACATTTTAGTTCAAATTATGTGCAGAACTCTCTTTTCGGATGGATTCTGGAAAGGATATGGAGGTGATTGTCAACAATCCTTCGACTATGCCAGTGGTGTCTCAACAACAAGGTAAAGACACTCCTCATCGACGTACTCCTCCTAAAAAATAAAAAAGAACAACTCCCCGAGAACCTTCTGAATCTAGAAAGATTGGTAGAGAGACGTCTGAGATTTGGGATCATTTCACCAAATTTATTGGTAAATGAGGTAAATGTATGGCAAAATGCAATTATTGTCCTAAAACCTTTGTTGCCGCTAGCAAGAATGGGACTATTTCGTTGTGGAATCATTTAAATGTGATATGTCATAAATCCCCTTTTAAATTCGCCGATAAGAGGCAATCATTATTAAAGCCTATTAAAGAAGGATTGCTAGGAGGTGACTCGGGTTCTACTGAAAGGGTAGTGTATAATGTGGATGATATTAGAAGGGCCATTGCCGAATTTATAATTATTGACGAGCAACCATTTAGAGTAGTTGAAGGAGAAGGATTTAAGAGATTAATGGCCAAGGCCTTGCCTAATTTTCAATTACATTCTCATGTAACTGTTGCTAGACATTGTTTGAGGTTTTATCAGGGAAAAAAAACTTAAAAATCTTATCAAGAACCAACGTGTATGCCTCACTAGTAACACATGGACATCACTCCAAAACTTGACTTATATGGTTGTCATTGCACATTGAATTGATGATCAATGGAATATACAAAAGAAAATTCTAAACTTTTTTCCAACACTAGATCACAAAGGTGAGACTATTGCGAAGGGAATTGAAGCATGCTTATTTGATTGGGGCATTGAGAATTTATTTATAGTGAACTTAGATAATGCAAGTGCTAATGATGCTACCATTAAGCATTTGAAGGTGTGTATTGATGATTGAAAAGGGGTAATACTGCCATTACGCATTATCTTCGATTCGTAATGAATATCGTTATTTTTGTGTATTACTTAATATTAAATATGTTAATTGTTTCTTTTATTTCAGAATATCTAGACTCACCTTTGAGGATTGATTAGATGGATAGTTAACTATAATTTTCTCCTGGACTATTTTTGGAATCATGACTACTTAAAGGTAATTAAAAGAGGTTCTATTAGTTTCTTTACTTTTGTCTATAACATTTCTGTTGAGCCTGAAGTATTTGATTATATACAAATATTTCAGGTATTACAAAAGATTATCCCAAGGAAAAGGATGGAACTGCAATGAATCTCCCAAAGATTGGAATTTGGGTCATTATGCCTTTACTAACATTCTGGAACATGCTCCTCTGGATTAAGATGCCCAACTTCTTAGAGTTTAATATATTCTCTTTTGGTTTATTTTCTATAATCTTGACTATAGTGTCTACTCTTGAAATGTTGGTGATAATTCATATGTAGAGTGCAATATAATTTGCAGTTTATCTTTTTTGCAGTCTATGACTCTTGGTTGTAACTATTTACAAATATTTCAGGTAATTCTATAACTCTTGGCTATAATTCTATGACTCTTGGTTATAATTCTATGACTCTTGAATCCTTTTTAGCATTGAGATTGTAACACAAAATGGATGATCACATTCACATATTATCTCCTGAAGAATATTGCACAAGATCTTTAATGTTGTAGGCTTGCTTCGTTTTCTTCCGGTATAGAATGGACAATGATAAACTTTACCTGAAATCATTTCCTTGCCATAACCTTCCTTTAATCTTTGATACCAATTATCATTGTATTCTTCTATCTCCGATGAAATTTTTCAAGAAAGCCTAAGCCCAACAATAGAATAGGATAATCCTTCAAAACATGCAAAATTGAATGTGTAAAATGATGCTGCTTACAAGCATATGTGAACGATTACTTCCAGCAAATTCAAGAAAAGATTGAAGTACCAAGAGATTTACTCATTCCTTTGAACCATTTGCTAAATTCTTACGCCTTAAAGTTATGCATAAATACTTCCATCATCTTTAAGAAAATATAGAAGTGCATTAGATATTTAGTCATTCCTTACAACTTAAACCATTGGTGTGAGCAAAGGCTCAAAAGAAAGGTACTAAAGAAATATTTTGGAGTATAAGTTTATCGGAAAAAACTCGAAAAATCCAAAAACCCCGAGAAACCCGAGGAAAATCGAGATTGAAAAATCCGACTTTTGTTGGTTTGGTTTGATCTATAGATTTAAAAACCCGATATAGTTGATTNAAAAAATTTTCTTTTCCTATTCAATGAGGGACAAAGTTCCTTTGCAAGGATAATCAATTCAAATCTTCATTTTCTCTATTTCTTTTTCCTCCATTTTCCTGTTCACACCTTTACTCAAAAAATAAAACCCAACACAAGTCTCCAACCAGATTATGATAACTCTTGGCAAATAGGAGACCTATTGTAGGTGTAACAATAACAAAGTCTAAATTGCAATTAAATTAGTACATCCTCAAACGAAATAGAAAAATACAGTATGTTGAAACTTCTTAGGGATTACCGGTGAAAGAAAGAGTCCGGCATTTATTTCTTTGTGAATATTCATAACCAAGCCTACTATTATCATATTGCTAAACCTATGGATTAGTGTTTGAATATTTTCATAGGACATGATCAGATCATCCAAGATGATTTTCTTTCATTTTATCTGCTACGTTTGTTATTCATCATTTGAATTTTGTATAATCGCACATCAATCTTAAATTTAGTCTTTTACAAGACTCTACTAAAATGCATGTAAAACAAGTCTTTGAGTCTCAAAGAAATATGATTGGTCGAAAACTAGTATTCCTTCAATACATGTGTATTACAGAAATACATACAATAAAATTCAAAATCCAGCTAAAAAGCTTTTTCCTAACACACTGCTTTTCTGAGAGCAATTATTTCATCTTCCTTTTTTTTTTTTCCCTTTGAACATTGATCTTTTCAAGGTAAAAGCTATATATTTCTTTTATTTCGCAGTAAAGCCACTCTGTGAAAAGTAGAATTTCAAAATGCAAAATGAACAGTATATTGCTTAATCCTCCAAAGGAATCGATTAATTATTTGTTGAATTCCATGACCCAAGTGTTGTAAGCGCAACAAGCCTTGCGGAATCCAGTAAAACCAGCGCCCTTAGCCAAAGCCTCAAATTCCTTCTCAGTCCTTTCTTTGCCTCCTGGGTTATGTGCTAACATCACAATATCAACATGTACTGTATTCTTAGTTGCAAGTGATGTATCTGGGGCCTCTGGAAGTATGCACTCCGCTATTATCACCTTCCCATTTGCAGGTAGTGCTTCATAGCAATTCTTCAAGAATTTTAGGCAATGCTCGTCGCTCCAATCATGACAAATCCACTGCACGAATATGTTACGTTATCCTCTGATTTACAACTTCGATTTAAATAAAAGCAAGAAAATAAACGAGTTTAACTTCTATATACTGACAGTATAATCCGGGGGGTCTACGTATTACAAATAATGCAAAGATAACCACAGGTGACAATTCATAATAGGTGGTGGTACTAATTAATAACGTGAAAATTAAGGTAAATTACGTGTAAATATACTAATAGTATGAAATTTTTTTACAATGTAACTCCGGGAGAATAGGTGCTCTCCTATCTTTTGATTAGGAAAGATAGGCAATGCAATATTTCTTGGTGTGAGGGTGGGGTAGCTAGGCATTACCTTCATGAAAATGGCATCTGCTTTTGGCACACTGGCAAACATGTCGCCACCAACGTGCTCGACACCTAATTACAAGTTACGAAAGTGATTGATGAGCAATACAAACTAGAACAAGAACATTAATGCCATTAATTATCAAATGTAGCTGAAGGGGGAGAAGGATTTTAGCTTAATTACCAGGGTAAGCTGGAGCATCTCCAATAACATGTGGTAAATCAAAGTTAATACCCTTAATAGAGGGATGTTTGGAGACAATCATGTTAACAGTAGCGCCAGTTCCACCACCAACATCAACAATGGAATTTAGGCCTTCAAATCCTTTGTAGTCCTCAAGAATCTTTTTCATTGACATAGTGGAGTGATCAGACATTCCACGGTTGAAAACTTTGTTGAATCTTGGATCTGTGCCATGGTACTCAAATGCTGTCATTCCATAGGCCTTGTTGAATGGGATTCCACCATCTAGTACTGCATCTTTTAAGTGGTACCTGCAATAACAAACATGGGAATCAAGCAAATTAGGTGGAAACGAAAACATAAAAGAATTCAGAGCAAATTATAATACTTTTGTTAACCATTCAACCTACGTAGTGTATTATATGTGGACACGAGGAATCACAAGTCTTGAATTACACGTTCTGAATGTTATATACATAGTTAAAGTGATTTTTTCATTACAAATTAAAGAGATAATTTGAACAATGAACTTGTGAACTATATATCAACATGAGGAATTACAAGTCCCCTACGTAGGTTGTAATTTGATGTTTGTTAATTTAACACTGCAGCTTTACTATTTATAGTGTATTTGTGGTGCTCAATCGTTGTTTCCATTACTTCAAAAACATCTAGGAAAAGAATTATTTTTTTCAACAGATAATGATGGAAAAAAGGAAATTCCTGCTTCCAATTATTCATTTTTCAAACTTCGGTGGCCCACCTTATCACAAGTGTAACCGAATATGAAACTTGTCAACAGGAGCCTGCACCTCCTTTCCATTTTCCTCGCATACATTGAGGAAACTTTATACTAACATAATTTTAATCAATTGTCTGTCGTTTTTTCAACTAGTAGATTCAATCTGTTGAATTACACACCAAGTTCCAATACGGGGCAGCAGTCAACAATGACAGACACAAAACCAACTCAATTAAAATCATCAATATTCAAATTCAACCAACACTAAACAAAAGAAATTTTAGCTGTTAAGGAAAGCACACTACTTTTCTTAGGGCTTAATTAACTATTACTATGTCTCATATTTTTCTTTTTTGAAGATGCCTTGAAAATATGTTATTGTTAATAGCCATAGGAAAAACATAAGAAAGAGAAATGACCTATGATTTTTAATAAAATTGTAACAACATAAATAAAGAAATTGAGCAATTATAAACAAGAATTTCATAGGAATAATCAATAGGCATATATAAGATTGTTTTGAATTCAGTGAGACAGAAACAAGATAGAAACCAGAAGAAATTAAAGGACAGTGTACAAAGCATTTCGTATTCACGTCCAGGGAAGAATCGCAACACCATGATGATGTAGATAATTTATTCTAATGCAAGTATTAACGGTTATTTTTACAGCTTGAAGCGAGAAGCTATTAATCACCTGCATGTATTATATACTATTGAAAAAGCTATTAATCACCTACATGTATTATATACTATTGAAAAAGAATTAAGGGGACTTACCAGCTCTCCATAAGAACTTTATCTTGATTCATAAGCAAAAGTGGGGCAACAGAAACACCATCAGCATTCTTAGTCAAGAACTTACAAACCGGAGCCAGACTATAAAGCCTCTCAACACTGCCATCAGACAGTGTTCTAAGAGTACAATTGAGAACAGAGTAAGTAGCAAGTAGCCTAAGCATCCGATCAAGCATAACGGGTGCTTCTGGGTTCTGGGTTGAGAGCTGAGCAGCTAATTCAGAAGGAGAAATGGCTGCACCTGGACCAGCTTTAGCCATGAGTTCAAGAAGGTCAAGTTCTAACGCTGATTTTAGGACCATAGGAAGTACAGAAGCACTAGCCAATTGCATGGCAAATAAGAACGCTTCGTCTTCTGTGTGAGTTAGACTCTTACTCTGGCTCTGGCTTGTTGAACCCATATTTTTTTTCTCTTCTCTCTTGGTTCTGTTTCAGATTTTACAATGACTCAATTGGGCAAATTAAGGTGAGTTGAAGAAACAGAGGGGTTTTCGATGGTGTAATGAGGAGTTGTGAGTCTGGTATTTTATATGGTCATTTTTGGTTCACCAACCGAAAATTTGGTGGGGCTGTGGCCTACAAATTGACCCCACACCTAAAACGTACTAGTACTACTATTGTTTTGTGAATTGTGATAGCAATCTGACGTAGAGTTGATTTGAGCACTCCTACCGCAATAACTTATCCTTGTGTCCATATTCTGCTGTTTTATTTAGATCTAGAGTTAGATTAAATACTGTATTATTGAAGTTTCCATTTTTCTTTAAAAGAATGCAAATGCATACTTTTAAAAGTGTTCAAAGACTATTTAGATTAACTTTTTAAAATAATGTGAAACTACTTTCTCTCTTCTTTTTTTTTTTTTTTTTTTTTGTCATTGTCTTTTAGACAAATGGACCAATGATGGGGATGAAGGCCGGAAAGGGAGACTATATATTTAGATACAAAGTAAATTTGACTTCCACGTTCTTTATCTTATGGAATATGTTATATGGACAACATGAGAGGTTTTACAATTTTACCAAGAGAAGCTAAAAAATGTCATCCGGAAAAATAGTATCCCAACTATGAGCACGTGATTTTTACCCGACGAAAAATACTCCTACAAATTCAAAATAGATTTTTCTAATTATTCTAATTTTTATAGAAGTTTTAGGAATTTCTTGTTAATTATTGCTTGCATTTAGTTGCATATTTAACATTTTAAAATCATAAGAAAAAAATACCAAAAATGTCTAAAATATTTCATGCATATCATTTTAGGTCTTAATTACATTTAGGATTTAATTACATAAGTTAATTGCCTTATTAAATAAAAAAATCAAAAATATTGGATATTTTTACATTTTTAGTTTTCAGTTGTAAATTAGTAATTTTCTTTCATTAGTCTTAAGTTAATTAATTATTTTTATGTTAGAAGTAGATAATTAATTCAATTCTAAAAATTAGATTATTTTTAGAACTTAACTTAAGTTTTTAATCAATTTTATTAGGATTTAAAAAATTCAAGGAAAAGAAAATGTGAAAGGCTGTGTTTATTTCCGAATTGGGCCAAAACCTTAGCGTTGACCCAATTTCCCTTTAAACCCAACTCGCCCCAAGCCCAGTCCGTTCCATCCCTCACTTAACCCAAAACGGCGTCGTTTAGTAACGTCAATCCCAGCTATTCAACCCATCTCATCCAAAGATTCACAACACCCTCTCTAATCCCTCATATCTGTCGGAGACCACCCCCAAACCCCCCAGACCCCTCTCACTTCTCCATCTCTCTCACTCAATGAGACCCTAGCCGCCCCCAAATCCCTCACCCCCACCGGCCGGTGGTCACCGTCCAAACAACCCTAAATCTTCACCCTATAATTCCCATACTTCCCTAATCCCAAATCCCTTACCAGTTTCCCCAAAATATCATCCAAACTCCCTGAATTTCAAATTTAAGAAGTCAAAAAAACTTAGTTGTTTTTCTTTTCTGATTCTTTCCAAACTCGGGCTTGTCTTTCGTTATTACCTGGCTCAATCGACTACCTTCAGAGTCGAAGGGTGATTTCATGCCGTTGATTGGTCACCTCCGCTTGATTGGTCTCAGACCCTTTCTTCTCCGTTCAAAACCTTAATGGCTCAGGGTAGTAGCCCCCATAGCTTTGAGGTATCGTTTGGTATTCGACTCTTCAGCCAAGCTATGGTCGTTATCGTTACAGGAAGCCATTGTTTCTGTCTTTCGAGCATGAACCAGTGCTCGTGTGACGATATCGACCCCTGCTCGGATTTCTTGAAGCCAGCAGTGATGTCATTAACGGGTAATACTTCCTCCCGTTCTTTCGTGGTCATTTGGTTTAAGTGTATGATTTACTCACAGACTGGCGTTTTGGTTGTTTCACATGATATAGCTTAGTTTTAGGGTAATTATAGCATATTTTAGTTTAGTTTCATTTATACTTAGCTGATTTTGCTAAAATTATCATTTGAAATGACTGCTTAATAATGCATCAGTAATGGACTATTAGCATATCTCTTCATATGTTTAGCATGTTTAGATTAGGCAGGATTTAAATTTATTTAATTCTGTGTTAGGTCGCATAACAGTTAGTAATTTGCAAGAAATGAGGGACCAAAAGGTATACTAAAATCAGAGAATCTTAGGTGTTTGGGCAAGAAGTTTCTATAAGGGACTCAAGTGCAATAAAATAAAAGAACTAGGGATAGTTTCAGAATTAAAAGATACTAAAAAAACAGAAAGGGGGACAGCTGTCAAAAGAAAATATCTGAAGAGGGACAGCTGTCCAATTCAGTTATAAAAGATGCTCTTTTCCCTGAAATTTAGGGATGGCATTCTGAGAATTATTCCCTTATCTTTAGGAGCACATGATAGATTTTTCACTTTATATAAAGGACCTCACTCACACATTTTAAAAAAAATAAAGGAAAAAGAAAGGACGGGGGTTACCCACAAAATTCACTCTTCATTTTCTATTTTACTCCCATCCACTCATTAAAAACAGAGAGGTTTTTTTTTTTTTTTATACATTTCAATTCTAGGAAAACATCAAAACTCTCTTTTTCATTCTACAATGGTTTTGCACCAGAGTCTCATTGGTCTTGGGTCTATTGCTGGATTTCTGGGTTGAAGAATTACAACTAATGTGGGCTGTTTTCTACTGCTATCTGCTGTTACTATGAAGCTAAATTCTCTTCTCTGACTTTCTGACCGTTATTTGGTCATTTATCTGTTGTTTCTGCTTTCTAGGTATGTAAATATCCATACATTCATCTCTTTTCTTTGAGTTAATGAATAAATGTTGTTTGGTGTTGTATTTGTTCATGACTTTGTGGACTTAGCTTATTTTTAGCCACTAAATAGTCTAAAGAGTTATCTCTATTGATTTACATCTATAATATTTGTTCATCTACTGTTCAAGATACACTTATGCTGCCGAAGTTTCTCAATGATTTTTTATATGTCAATATATAGTGTTAGTTAACTGATTCTGAGCATGTTAGTTAATGTCATTTGTTTGGTATAAATAGTTGATGATTAGTAGATGAGAATGTAGCTTCACATTTGAGGCAATATAGGAGCAAAGCAAGTTATAAGTCTGACCACCAGTTGGTCAGATCTGCATCCGAGCAGGCCAAGAAAAATCAGCTCAAAATTATGAAGTATGGTGACATTATGCCTGTTGTCCTAAATCAAAAGAAAAGCCATGGATAACACAGTTTGGAGTTTACAAATCACATGCAAATTAGTTATTTAGATTTCGGAGCAAGAATTATGTAAATAATTATCTGTCTCTAGTCAAATTCAATAAAAAAAATTGAAATTAAAACATGTATTATTAGTAGATCTAGTTCGTTTCTTTCTACTTGTAGCTCTGAATCCGTATAACATATTTTGAGGCTTTGAGGTTTATGTGTTTGGCTTTTCATTCCTTTGTGATTGATGTATAAAATGTTACACGACCTAGTTGAGCTTGAGCCATTGTTCATTTCGTTCCCTCAAAGCTGTCAGGCCTAAAAGGGTGGCCTCGCGAAGGAACAGGGTTAAGTTTAAGTCATAGAGACATTGGGAATTTTAGCTACCATTTCTGCAGAATGAAGGCTTTCTTTTAGAGGTTAAAGACGTCTTGGGCTTTATTGCAAGCCCATGACTTTGGCCAGTATGTGAACTATTTCTGGTTCCCAAAATATTAATCATTTTGTTTAGTTTAAAATCAAGATATTGAAGTTAGTAAAGCGAATCATATGAGTATTTGGATTCAAATAAGTTTTAATATTTCGATACCTGACTATTTGATAGCATTGAGCCTTCACATACCTAAAATCTATAACACCTAGACCTCACACATATAACCTTGCGTTCCAGAAATTAGGCAATTCTCGAATAGTATGCTTTTAGACACGCTTTTAATTAATTAAATAATCATGACTATGTACACGTTCGCGTGACATGATTACGATTTCAAAAATAAATAAATAATTGTATACATGCTTTAGGCGCGCGTGTAATTGACTTTCGTAATTATGTACACGTTCGCGTGATATGATTATGATTTTCCAAAATAAATCAAAGTATGCGTTCGCGCGACTTTGGCCAACGATCTTAATATTAATAAAGCGGAACTAATTGTGTACACGTACGCGTGACATGATTCACACACAGGTGATCCGTTTCAAAGATAAATCCATAAGCGCCATATCTAAAAGTGGTAAAAGGTAAAATGCACATAGGTTCTAAAACATGCAATTAAATAACTTAATTAAGCCATGTATGATTAAAGCGACCGTGCTAAAATTACGGAATCCGAGAGTGCCTAACACCCTCTCCCAGGTTAACAGAATTCCTTACCCGGTCTTCTGGTTTCGTAGACTTTGAACAGAGTCAAAGTTCCTCGATTTGAGATTTAAAATAAACCGGTGACTTGGGATACCATAAATTATCCCAAGTGGCGACTCTGATTAAACAAATAATTCTATTTCAATTAATGTCACTTTAATTGGAAAAATTTCCCTATCCATTCGGAAAAAAAGAGGTGTGACAACTCTAGCGACTCTGCTGGGGACCGAACCCAGAATCTCTGGTTCAGGGTTCAAGAATTTGAGCTTGTTGTTGTGATTTTTACTTGGCTTTATCGATGGTTATTTTTGTATTTGTGGGCCTAATGTGCCAATTGCCGCTCATTTACCGCTTTAATATTATTTGAACTGTATTAAATTGCCTTCTTACGCCTCTCTTCTGAGTCTTCTAAAAATATGGTGCACACGTATGCGTGGCCTGCTTTTCTGTTAGAGGTCATGCCAAATAAGACGAGGATGGATCAGCCACTAGGCCGGGTAGACTTCCGTGCTCCCGGTACGTCACTCCCACATCGGCTCAAGTTGTCCGCTTGGGTAAGCTATGTCTAGAACACACCCCCAGGTTTAAACTTAGAATAACATAGCCTTATGGCGGATCCCTAGTAGGAACGTTTGCTTGCATCATGTGCATTTGACTTAGGGGACTCAACACAGGGGTTG